AAACTGCAGCAGCTTTTGAAAAATTTGGTGCTGTAAACGAAGACAGGATCGCGTCTCTCGGTGAACGGGATGGAGGTTTCAGTCAGCTGTTTGAGCTGTGCTGTTGTGAATAGCGATTTCCATTGTAGACGCAAGTGCCTGGCCTGCAGCACCTCTGAGCACTTCACGTCATGTCCCTGGTTTCCACGCGCGTTTGGGTGGCAGCGAGGTGGCCCATTCGCTCCGGCTCTGACTGGTCACGGCTGGTCTTCCCTCAGCTGGGTCTTGTTTCTGGGAGTGTTTTTCACTCTGATTACTTTACACGTTACTTTTGAAGACCGTTTTTCTAAATTGCCGAATCCTGGGCAGCTGTACGGAGATCCTTCTGCCCACAGCCCCAGGCCTCCTGTGGGCGGGAGATGTGCCCACCTGTGGTGCCTGTGCAGCTCCCACCAGCGCGTCTGAGCTTACACTGAGCGCCAAGCGTCCGCGACCCGCTCCTAGGTTTGCCACCATATTTCTCAAGCACTTTCAAGAGAGAAAGAGGTCTGTTAAAAAGCTTGGAGACATTTTCAAGGTTGTTTTGAATCTTGCCCCATGTTTAGGATGGCAGGCTTCCTAACTGAGCAGCAGATTTACACATTTACACATGAACTTGTGTTTCAGATCCGCACTGACCACCACGCCAGTGAGGACGGGTAACTGTGGAAAGCCGGCCAAGGAAGGAGGTAGGAGAGCTGCCCCCGCACACACGTGGTGTGTGTTCCCCAAATGCGAGCAGACAATGAGCCGCTTAGCTCCAACTCTCTAATAGAACTCTGTTGTGAAACAAGTCGGTAGAGCCTCGGTGGGGAGCCAGTGGCAGAAACCACCCCCACCCTCTGTCCCAGCACGGGAGGGAGCCCCTCAGACAAGCCGCACTGCCTCCCCTCTACAGATGGGACAGTGGGGCCCCAAGTGCCTGTCCGAGCTCATCTCCCCTGGGGAAGGCTGACCAAGTGCCCGCAGCCAGGCTCTCCCTCCAGGCTATGCTGGGGGCAGGGAGGTGGAGGCCTCATGGGGTGAGCAGAGCCCACCTGTTCCTGAGTAAGCATTGGCAACAGATGGGGCTGCCTGAGGGCACAGGTGAGGACACTGGCCCTCAGAGGACCTGGCCTGGCAGGGGGCATGGAGCCCACAGAGGCAGGTCTCGGCACAAAGAAACTGCAGAAAGGTCCTAGGTGGGCGCACAGTGCCCAACGGCCGGGACATGCAGGCCTGACCAAGGATGGACGGGACTGTCACTGATGGGTGGGAAGGATGTCCACTGATGGCCTGAACGTTGCCCCACGCCTCCAAGCACGTCCTTCCTTCATTACTCGTGGAGGGAGGGTCTGCATAGGTGCTTTTTTGTCTGGGATTCATGTTTCAGTCCTGGGGAGAATCGAATGATTCTCTGATAACTGCATTCCTGCCATCCCCCTGCCCCAGAACTGTTGGTCTTAATTTTTGTGTCTTACCATCCACCTCCCTGTCTTTCCATCTTTGAAAAAGACTTTCTCAACTTGACTTCTCAACCCTCTTACTGATTTATTTTTCAATTGGCTGCTGTGTTTCATTTCTAAGATTTCTTTCTTTCTTTTGAATCGTTCCTCTTAAAATACCATTGTTCATGGATACAGTTCCTTTTTCATTTCTGTGGTTACTAGTTATCATTCTGTTCACCTTTCCACAAGTCCCACACTGTCTCTATTTCCTTTGTTTGTAAAAACTCCTTGTTCTGTGGTTTGATTTCTCACTTGCGTATGAGGAATGTCCTCAGACGCCTGCTGGTTTCCACCTGCACAGGAGTGAGGGTGGTGACGAGCTGCGTAGCCGAGACTCGTGGCCGGGCAGGCGAGGTCGGTGCTGTTGGTGCTCGTCTGTCCTCTGGGCGCCTCATTTCTCCCATGATGCCGGCTGTCCGTCCATCCGCCTGCCCTCCCGCCCGCCCGCTCTGTCCTGGGATTGAGCGTCTGACAGCACAATAACTCGTCATCAGGCAGGGCCTGGGGTGAGTCCTCCCCTGGGGGGCTGGGCCTCCGTCTGCTATGTGGTTCTGAGTTAAGAGTCCTCCCCGCTCACTGTTGTCGTCACTGTTGTCAGTCAGCTCTGCTACAACACATTCCGTCTCCTATCTGAGCCCATCATTCTGAAAGCACTTTCCTTCTGCAGTAGAAACATCAAGTGTTCTTACTAAAGTCCCTTAATGATAAACTGTCTCAGGTTGTATTTATCAATAAATATGTTTTCTATCTTCTCTAAAAGAGCCCTTTTGCCAGGCACCCAGTTCCGGGTTGGCAGGTACTCGTACACGTCCTACTTCCTGGGCCTGCAAAGTTCCGTTTCTAGATAAAGAGCCTGGCTGGGACGCTGCGGTCCTGCGAGTGCCGAGCCTGCTCTAGTGGAGGAAACGGACCGAGGCCGCGGGCGCAGTGAGCCCTGTGGGAGCTGCCTGACCTGAGCAGACGGCCACACACAGCAGTCGCCCGGGGGTCTGCGCGTTTGCTGCTGTCCACCTGGCTTACAAGTTGAAGGGGATGCCCCGGGTCCGGAGGACCGCTGCACCTTAAGGGTACTGTCCTCTCCTTCGACTGGTTCTTACGCGCCCGGCTAGGGGGAGGCTGAGCCAGGCGAACACGGGGTGTGGACACCATCTTCCCCGGTGGGGCTGGATGCGTCTTCCTGCCTGCCCTGCCCATTCTCAGCCCTACAGGAAATAGAGCCCTCGCCCTGGAGAGCAGAGGCACCGGTGGGCCATGGAGCCAGCTGACAATCAACTCGGACTCTGCACAGTCATGGGTGTCGGTCACTGCAGGGGCTCACTACACTTCGTCTCCTTCCTCCCGGGACTCCTGTCAGGCCTATGCCAGAGCTTACCCTATTTTACAAGTCTCAGCGCTTCCTTGGTATGTGCATCTCTTTGCCTGCATGGTCGTCTGGATTTCTTCAGCTGTCACCTGTGCTTAACCTAGCTCAGGGGTTGGCAAACTTTTGAGATGGAACGTACCCAGAGCTGCGTGTGGCTCACAAGCCGCAAGTTGCCGACCCTTGGTCTAGCCCGCTGAGTTCCATTTGAGAATTATAGTCCTCATTCCTAAACGCTCTCCTTCAGAAACCCTGCGTCTCCATGCCTGACAGTCCACTGCCTTCCCGTCGCCATGACTCACCCTTACACACCCCAGACAGAACCAGTCTCCTGCCCACATTACCTGGCAGCCTCAGTATCTGCAGCTCGTAGTTTGTACCTGCCGTCTGCTGTTTGATGGCCCTCATTCGGGGACACTCCTGTCCTGTGTACACAGTGAGCTCTGTGAGCTCACTGCTTGACCTCACGAGCAGGATCACTACAGGCCGAGCGCGACTGCTGTGGCTTCTCCTGGCACCGTGGACCTGGCACCCTCCAGCCTGTCTGAGGGGCTTGGCTTGGCATGGAGGCCCCAGGCTGTTTCCCGTATCACCACTGACCCACGAGTCAGCAGCCCAATAGCAGTGGTGCCACCGAGTCCACTCTGAGGGTGTGCCCTTCGCGTTAGAAAATCCTATGCCTCACGTTTTAATCAGGCCAACCTGAGCCCTAGAACTCCTAGGCAGCTACAGGACCCCAGGTAATTCAGCAGTTCAGCCAGAGCAGACAGCTGCCATGAAATGACACCAAGCCACAGCCTGCCCAGGGAGCACGTGGCTGGACCGGGGACTTGTGGCCAGGTGACTGCTCAGATCTGTTGTCGTCGTTAAAATAAACTTTCAGTTTGTGGCTGAGTTTTATGATCTGTGCTGAGATATCTCCCCCAGCAGACACCGCTCCCTCCCTATCTGCAAATACCACTTATACCTATCCATCCCTGTCGCCTGTGATGTGACATCCGGTCACAAACACTGAGCTTGCCGAGACCACTGCTTCCCAGTGCAGCGTTCCTCTCCCCTCGCCAGCCACAAGCTGCGCGTTCCTGTGACAGGCACGCCTTCCCTCGCACCCACCTTACACATGACATCTCATCTGTCTGCTGCAGACTCAATCTTTTGAAAAGCCAGCTCAGGAATCCCTCCCCGGGGGCACCCCTCCCCATGTCTTCCCTTTCCCCGGTCCTGTTTATCAGTCCCCGTGTCACTTGTTACTGCACTTGGATTGGGCGTCACCGTGACTGTTCGGCCTCACCCTCTAACCTGTGAAGTCCTTGAGCGCAGACGTCTAGCTGGCTGTTTCCCTGAACTGGCGTCGCTCCTGGACAGGAACGTGCTAGGAGACACCTGTACAGACCCCTGACGCCCTCTCCTGCGCGGCAGGCTCTGAAGTGGCGTGAGCACGAGCCAACCTGTGCTGCCCTCCTGTGCTCACCTGCCACACATGCCAAGTGCACACATCATGTACGTACTCTGACGGGCTGCATGTTCGCCACCAGGCCTGTGCTGGAGAATTCTGACAACCAGCTCCTACTTTGACGGGGAGACAAATGCACAGCTTGATATGGGGTAGGAAGTGCCTCCTGCCTTTGGAAAAGTGCTGTGGAACTAAAACAATTACGGCCACACGGCTAAATCTCAAAAACAAGCAGAGGGAAAGGAGTCGCATGTGTATGAGTATATATCTTCATTCTGTTACCATAAAACCCTAGAACAAGCAGAACTACGGTGACAGAAGCGACGTCACGGGGTGCCTCTGAGGATGGGGGTTTGACCTGGAGGGGACGTCCTAGCATGACGGACACAGTTTGTACCTTGACTGTGTACAGGTTACAAAGGTCAAATCCGGGTGTTTGTCAGATCTCATAAAACCAAACACTTATGATCTGTACATTCCACCTTATGTAAATTATAACTCCGAAAAAGTGCTAAAAATAAGAAAAAGAGTAAAGAAAAGGAAATAAAAAAGTGCTGTGAACATGACACAATTTCAGTGTCACCATCAAGTCTCGTCCCTCCCCTGGGAAAGCCGCTGTTTCCCACGTAGGAGGCCTGCCTTCCGAGCCCGCTCCCCTCCACCTTCCCGTGGACACGCACACTGAAGGCGCCCAGGCAGCTTTATTATCTCGGTAGGGGGCGGGGAAGGCCGCGCTCCACCCGGGTGGGCGGTGCCGCCCGTGGCCCCGCCCCGCCCCCTCACTCCCGGCTGTGGACCCGCTGGTGCTGGATGAGGTGGAAGCTCAGGCGGAAGGCGCGCCCGCACTCGGTGCAGCGGAAGGGCTTCTCGCCCGTGTGGATTCGCTGGTGCCGGAAGAAGCCCGACAGCGCCCGGAAGGCGCGCCCGCACTCGGCGCACGCGTACGGCTTCTCCCCGGTGTGGATGCGCCGGTGCTCGCTGAGGAAGGAGCTGCGGCTGAAGGCGCGGCCGCACTCCGGGCAGGCGAAGGGCTTCTCGCCCGTGTGCACGCGCTGGTGCTGGATGAGGTTGGAGCTCTGGCTGAAGGCCTGGCCGCACTCGCCGCACGCGTACGGGTTCTCCCGGTGGTGCGTCCTCTGGTGCCGGACCACGTTGGAGCTGTGGATGAAGGCCTTCCCGCACTCGCGGCACTCGTACCGCCGCTCTCCGCTGTGCGTTCTCTGGTGCTTCACGGCGTCGGACCGCTGGCCGAAGGCCTTGCCGCACTCGGCGCAGTCGTACGGCTTCTCCCCGGTGTGCACGCGCTGGTGCCGGACCAGGTTGAAGCTCTGGCTGAAGGCTTTCCCACACTCCTTGCACACGTACGGCTTCTCCCCGTTGTGAACTCGCTGGTGCCTGACGACGTGTGAGCTATGGATGAACGCCTTCCCACAGTCGCTGCATTCATAGGGCTTCTCCCCAGAATGAATGCTCTGGTGCTTCACCACATCCGAATAGCATTTGAAGCTCCTGTCGCAGGCGCTGCACCGGTAGGGCCGCCCTTTCCAGGGGCCTCTGCCCTCCGTCCCGGAGCCGGTGTTCAGCGTGGGGTCTGACCCGGACGCACTGTCCTCACGGCCATTCTGACCCCCCGTTTCCTCACAGCCAGCTGGGCTCTGAGGGGCCTCTCTGGGCCTCTGTCCAGCTTCCTCATTCCCACACAGGTCCAGACACCCCAGTGGCCGGGGGGGCCTCTGGCACTGCCCTGGCGTTCTCTCGCCGTGGTGCTGCCCCTCTTCTGGAGCTCCCTGCCGTGGCGTCAACCCTGTGCTCTCAGCCCCTTGCTCAGGAGCCTGGCCAACACTTGCTGCCCGTGCTGGGAAAGTGGAAGAAGAGGGTCAGTGATGTATGATTTTAGACATAAGGAAACTCTATTAAACAACACGCAGTTGTGCATGAACTTGAGATGGCGCTGGCGACCCACAGTAATGGCGGAACTCTAATAAAGCCGGTGTGTAGCAGGCACCTGTTATCTGGCTTGTCCAGTTCCTGCCCAATTCTCCCTCACTTCCTAACCTCTGGGCACAGAAATGGACGAGGGGCTGGAGGGCAGGTTAGGGTCCTTTCTGGTGGTTCCAGGAAAGCCTGAGCCTCTGCCTCCATCGGCCTGGTCTCAGGACTGGAGGGACAGGCTGTGCGCCCTTGTTCTGCCTCACGGCCTGGGCAGCAAAGCGCAAGAAGCCAGGCGGCTCCGACAGCACACGTGTCCACTGACAACTGACCACTCTGACCCCAGGCCCCCCGAGACAACACTGTATCCCTGACAACTCCCTGCAACCCACCAAACTCGAAGGGCTCTGCTCCATGCAAGGGGGTCCTCACCTGACATCAGGACCCAGAGTGGACAATGGCCTGAGGGAGGGCCGCCGGGCCCTTGGGTCCTAGCTGGGTGGCAGTGAAATTGGTTAAACTAGGGCCTGTTGGCTCATGGCCACAGATCATGAAGCTGTTTAGACAACAGCTTCAGGGATGTGGCCGCAAAATCGTGGGACGTCAGGCTGGGTAGTTACTGCGGCCTTCCTAGAATTTCCTGTCGCAGGATCTGCAGGGGCATGTGGGGAGGTGGCTCAGAGGGCAGGGCCACCACGACAAGCATGTCAACCAAGTTGAGAGAAAACCTTTCCGCCCACAGGCAGAAACCTGGTCAGCTGAACGGAAGCCGCGGCACCCTCAGCTCAGCCGGCTGACGCGGTCCAGACTCCTGTGTGCGGGCAGGGGCTGGGGAGCTCCTCCCGGAGAGTGAGGGCAGGCTGGCGCCTAGTTTTCCACCGGTTCCCTAAAAAGAGCTTTAGTATGAGCACCAGGTGGGGAGGGAGTGTGTGCATATGTGACCTGGGCCGCCATGGCTGTATCCCACCCAGGCTCCCCACAGAGCAACAATCACGAGTGTGACCGTGAACAAGCTTCAAACACCACACGTCTCTTTACTAAGGAAGGTGGCACCGCTGTCGGCACCGGTTACGTGACAAGTATAACAACAACAGTAAACTGAACACGAGTCCTCAGCTTCAGCTGTGGCCTGAACCTTCAGAATAGAGGGGCCTGGAGCCTGGGGGAGAGATGGCCAACGGGCAGGAGGCTGGCCAGATCTTCAAACTCTTCCTGGTCACCTCCTCTGAGCCCAGGCCAGCTGACACTGCTGGGCCCCAGGGAAACAAAACCAAGAATTACTATTCTCATCCTCGGAAGTCTCCAGGCGGGGGAGACCAGAGAAAGAGAGGGGCGTAGCGTGTGGCCAGGAGAGCACAGGAATGGAGCCAGGTGAGGCGAGGCCCACAGGCAGAGGCAGCGGGGAAAGTAGGGTGTGCCAGGGCGATGCTGCCGGATGGGACTTGGGGAGCCCTGGCTCCTAAGATCTCCCCCCTCCCTAGCCCCCGGATGGTCCTCTACCTGCTCTCGGCCTGGCCGCCCACCCCTCACCTGTGCGTGTGGCCAGCAGGCCGGCCTTCTCCATGGCGTCTGGGGACCCAGGCCTGGGCTCCCCTCCCTTCAGAAACACCAGAGGTGGGGACACCTGCTTGGGTAAAAGGAAGAAGAGGAGAAAAAGTGACAGAGTGGGGGTGAGGTCAGAGTGCCCCCAGGGATCCCAAAGAAGCCACCCACCCACTGGGCCTATTTCTGTCACTAGAAGTCGAGGTCCTGACTGAACAGACACCCCAGAAAGTCCTGCTCTCTGGGGTGCTGGCTTCCTCCACCTCCGATGCAGGAAAGGCGGGCATCAGCACCTGCTGTCATCGTCCTCTACCACCTTCAAGCAGTTTGCAAATGTTCTACAAAAATACTCATGGGCTTTTAAATTTCCTTCATAATGATGAAGATCTGAATATAAAATCAAGAAAAAATTATTTGAATAGTGCAATTTTGGATTAAGGAATGATTTTGCTAAGCCTGATACCAAAGGTAAAGTCTTACCGTCTAATATTTAACTATAGGAGAAAATTTAGTTTAAAAACAAACAAATGAAAAAAACCCCCAAAAAACCAGGGTGGGGCTGCAACATAGATAGGGGTTCATATCCTTCACATATAAAGATGACCATATATTGAGAAAGTATGAAAAATGGCTAAAAGCCATGAACAGATAACCTGCAAAAAACCCCCAACTGGCTAATGTATTTTAAAATACAAGTCCCACCTTTTTTCCCACCTCATTTGCAATGAAGAAATGTAATTTAAAACACCACTGTTTCCTCTGAAAATGGCCAAGACTTAAACACGGCAGCTCCTTACGAGCAGGAAGAGTAGGGGAAATGGGCACCTCGCACACCACAACTTGGGGGGCAGCCACTGGACAACTTAAAAATGCCTGAGAGTCACATTGAGATTCCACATGAAGCTTCATCAAGTGGCTGAACCTTAAGGGAGCCGGCAGGTGGCAGCAGGCCTTGGGGTGTCCTGGCTTTCTGCAGAGTTACCCCAGGCCTGGTACTGGGGCAGCTGTCCTTGGTTCGCAGTGTGGCCTCTCCCTCATGCCTCCAGGTTTAGCACAGGCAGCGAACAACTGCAGATCGCTGTGTAGCTCCTACCAGGTGGCCCTGGCCACTCACAGGCAGTGGGTGACCTGGGCCTGCACTGGAGCTCCTCCCAAGAGGCCCCAGAGCCAACGTACTTGGAGGTTGGCTTCAGACCACAGCAGAGCACCACCCAGTGAGCCCCACAAGCAGCACACACAAAGGGTGGTCTCAATAGGCAACAGAGCCCACTGGGGTGAACTCCACTCATTGGGGTAACTCCCCCCCCACCCACACACACACAGCAGCCTGTAAGCTGTGGATGTGCCAATCAGCTTGAGGGTCAATCCCACCCACTGATATGCCAATAACAATGAAGGCTCGACTATATCAGGAGGGCACACACAACCCACTCAAGGGACACTGCTGGAGCACCCAGAGAAGGTGACCAGGGCGACTGTGCCAGGGCCCCACAGGGCACCTACTACATAAGGCCACCCGGCCAAGACTGGGAGACACAGCAGATCTACCAAGTACATAGAAACAAACAGAGAGGCAGCCAAAATGAGGAAACAACAAAAAATGCATCCCAAATGAAAGAACAGGAGAAAAATCCAGAAAAAGAACTAAACAAAATGGAGGCAAGCAATCTACCAGAGACAGAGTTCAAAACACTGGCTGTAAGGATGCTCAAGGAACTCAGTGAGAATGTCAACACAGAGATAGCGAGCATAAAAAAGGACAGAAAAACCATAAAACAGAACCAGTCAGAAGTGGAGAATACAGTAACTGAAATGAAGAATCACTAGAAAGAATCACCAGCAGACTAGATGAAGCAGAGAATCAAATCAGTGATTTGGAAGACAAGGCAGCAGAAAACACCCAACTGGAACAGCAAAAAGAAAACATAATCCAAAAAAAAAAAATAATAAGGACAGTTAAGAGACCTCTCGGATAACATCAAGTGTAACAATATTCGCATCATAGGGGTACCAGGAAAAAAAGCAAGGGGTTGAGAACCTGTTTGAAAAAGTAACAACGGAAAACTTCCCCAACCTGGTAAAGGAAATAGACTTACAAACCCAGGAAGCAGCGTCCCAAACAGGATGAACCCAAACAGAGCCTCACCGAGACACATAATTACAATGCCAGAGGTTAACAACACAGAGAGGCTCTTAAAAGCAGCAGGAGAAAAAGCAGTCAGTTGCCTGCCAGGGAACCCCCAGAAATCAGACTGTCAGCTGATTTCTCAACAGAAACTTTGCAGCCCAGAAGGGATCGGCACGAAATATTCAACGTGATGAAAAGCCAGGACCTACAACCAAGAATACTCTGCCCAGCACGGCTGTCGTCTAGAATTGAAGGACAGATAAACAGCTTAGCTTCCTAGACAAGAAAAAGCTAAAGAATTTCATCACCACCAAACCAGTATTATAAGGAATTTTAGAGGAACTTCTCCAACATGAAAACCTAAATTATAATACTAGAATGGCAATAACTAGATATCTATCAACCATCACTTTCTATGTAAATAGATTAAATGCTCCAATCAAAAGACATAGGAGGGCTTAGTGGCTAAGAACACAAGACCTTACATATGCTGCCTACAAGAGACTCACTTCAGACTGAAAGACACAGAGGCTGAAAAGGATGAATAAAGATATTTCATGAAAGTGGAAACAAACAACAGCTGGGCTAGTGATACTTACACCAGACAAAACAGACTTTGAAACAAAGGCTATAACGAGAGACAAAGGAGGACCCAGTAACCCACTTCAGGCAATTTATCTGAAGAAACCCAGAACGCTACTTCGAGGGGACGTGTGCATCCATATGTTCATTGCGGCATTGTTTACAATGGCCCAGATGTGGAGGCAGCCCGGGTGTGTGTTGATGGAAGGTGGATGAAGAGGAGGCGGTGCATACGCACAATGGGATATTGCTCGGCCAGGGGAGGGGATGGGTTCTTGTCATCTGCAGGGGCCTGGATGGACCTGGAGGGAATAGTGCTGAGTGGAGTATGTCAGACAGAGAAAGACAGATGCAATGTGATTTCACTTCTATATGGAATCTAAAGAACAAAATAAACAAACAAACAAACAAAACAGAAACACACCCATAGATACAGAGAACGTTTTGATGGTTGCCAGATGGGAGGGGGTTGGGGATAAGTGACAAGGGGAAGGGGTTAAGAAGTACAAATTGGTTGATACAAAATAGTCATGGGGATGTAGGGTAGAATGGTAATAGCTATGTACAGTGGCAGGTAGGTAAGAGATTAGACAAGGGGACCACTTCATAAATTACGTAAATGTCTAACCACTGTGCCATACACCCGAAATTAATATAAAATAATATTGACTGTCAGCTGTAATTGAAAAATTACAAAAGGGGGGGGGCAAAAGGTGAAGGTACAATTTTCCACGTTTAAAACAAGTCATAGGCATGTAGTGTACAACGTGGGGACTATAGTCAATAATATTGTGATAGCGTGGGACAGTGTCGGATGGTTGCTGGACTTAGGGTGATCACTTCTCTAGGTATATAAATGTTGAATGACTATGGTGTACACCTGAAACTCATATAATGTTGTATGTTAATTATATTTTTAATAAAAAATAGATTTAAAAATAACAGGAAAGGTAAACCAGTGATTGGATGCAATGACCCCTGACAGCCGGCTCTCTGGTCGGAAGGCTGTCCGCAGCCCGGAGCGCTGTCCCCCGCTCGCACTTTCCACAGCGGACCTGCTGCTGTTCCTCAGCGAGAGTCCAAGAAGGACACAAGGCCCTGCATCCGACCTCAGAGTCGCGCTTGGGCCGGCACCAGCATCTACCGGCCCCAAACCGGCCAGCCGCCACTCACCTGCAGAGACGCTGTCCACCCGAAGCGCGGCCGTCCCCTTCGCCCGCCTCGCAAGCACTTCCGGCGACGCCCTAGGCCGCCGGAGGACTGCGCTCGGCTGCCTTGGAGGACCCGGTTTGGGCACGTCCATTGACGCTCTAGGCCTCCGGAGAACTGTGCGCTCAGCTGCCCTAGAGGCCGGTGCGCGGGGACTTCCGTTGACATTCTAGGCCTCCGGAAAAAAACTGTGCATCGGCTGCCCTGGAGGCCACGGTGAGGGGAGGAGGGAAAGGGAGGGGAAGTGGGGGCGCCTTTCCTGCGACGCTCTAGGCCTTCAGAGGACAGTGCACTCGGCTGCCCTGGAGGCCGAGGCTTGGGCACTTCCGGCGACGCTCTAGGCAGCCGGAGGACTGTAGCTCTTCTGCCCTGGAATCCGCTGCGCGAGGACTTCAGGAGACGCTCTAGGCCTTCGGAGGACTGTCTTCGTCAGCCCTGGAGGCCCGAGGCTGGGGCATTCCGGCGACGCTCTAGGCCCCCGGAGAACTGTACGCTCTGCTGCCCTGGAGGCCACGGCGCAGGCACTTCCTGCAATGCTCTAGGCTGCTGGAGGACTGTGCACGCTCGTCTGCTCTGGAAGGTTGAGGGGCCGGCTGTTCGCTGGGCGCTGGCCTCTCTTTGCGATTCTTAAAGGATGGTTCCCTACTTAAAGGATGGTTCCCTAGCTCGAATGCAAGACCCCTCCCTGGCTATTGTCCCAGTCATCTTCAGAGCAATCCCCCCC